AACTAAGGGGGTTTATTGTTTTTATAATACCTCATTGTATATAGCATTCAAACAACACATCCTTATACACTTAAAGTATTATTTTTTTTGATTCTCTAGAAATTGTTTAGAATATGCCTTACTTAGGTATATATTATCTTCCTGTAATTTTTATTACAAAAGTTAGGCTGTGTCTCGTTACCGTTATTGTTAGTTCTCATTAATAATTTATTGCGAAAAGCGGATAGACTATAGAGTTGTGTCTAATGCAAATAAACAGAGAAAAAGGCCATCAATTCTAAACAAAATGCGTATTTCATTCAGTTTCAACATAACCTTTTGTCATACAAATCGTCCACATTGAATAGGAATCTACGGATACATGTTTAAATGTGCCAGTTAACGAATGCACCATGCAATTACTCTTCATGATTATGCGTTTGTATAATAATAGCTGCATATAAACCATATGGGATAATAATAACATTAATAATAAACCTGCATGCTTTAATTTGAAATAATAAAATATTTTGAATATTTGAAAAGTGATCAAACATATGATAAAAGCAATACATCAATCTTCAGTCCAATACTTTGAGCTATTATTTTATGATCTTAATAATTCACATTCGAATTACAAGCTTGTTAAATAATTAGTAGCAGTACATTCAGTTGATTATGTTAAATGAGCAGAAAGAAAAACAAATAGAAGAAAATTCTGTCTAATCTTTGATAAATTCAATGAACTTTATTCTCTGACTCTTCAAATGCTTTTTATCTGGCAATATTTTGTATGATTTATTTTAAAAAATCTATTAAATTTTCATATTTTCTAAAATTACTAAGCGAATGAATAAGTCTGAAAATGGAAGATGTAAATATTGTTCGAACAACAAAAAACAAAATAACCAGAACATTTCCTTTCCAACTTTCTTCCTAAACGAGTTCGAGATTGAATGCAGAAAATCATAACTTTCCTTTAGTGAAAATATTTTTATATACATATATATATTTCCTTTAGTGAAAATATTTTTTTTTTATTACTGGTTTGGTCAGGTTTGTTGGACGTAAAAAAGTGAAGCTGGTTCGGTAACTTTATCAGGAATTATTTTCACCGAGGAAAATGTTTTTCTATAGTTAGTAATTACATTATATATATATATATATATATATATATATATATATATATATTGTTAAGGTTTTTCAACCACAAGTCAAAAAAATAAAAACAGAAAGTAAATATAAAATCTTCTTTAATTCGTTTCGAGCTATTATACTAGCTCATCATTCAGCTAAAATACAAAAAGAGTAATAAAATAAAGTAACAAAATAAAACAAAACAGAATTAAAATTATACGTACCAAACCAGTTTAAAATTATTTTATATAAAATTTGACAATTATAACATCAATATTTTGTTCTAAAAACAAAAAAATATGTATATATATATATATATATATATATAGAATTTAAAAAAAATAAAATCAAGTAATCAAAATATTTCGAATTCTGAAAAAGAAGAAAAGAAAATATCAATTGGTAAATAATAGTTCAAATATTAAAACAGTCAGGCGTTAATTAAATTTTGATAGCTGTCGAACAGCAAAGAAGAAGAACTTCTCTTATTTACACATTGTGAATTTAAAAAAATGAAAACAGATTCAGCAAACCTACTTAGGTCAACATTTTGTTCAATATAAAAAAATAATGTGTTTAAAATTTTGCATATGGTCAGATAACATTGTTTTGTATTGATTTTTATTTTTTGAATCATTGTTATGTTGAAGCATTCTCTTAGATATATATTGTGAACTCTCACCAATATAGAATTTTTCACAATCATTACAATTCTCTTTGTAAACGGAGTCGACAATTCTATCATGTGGTGTTTTTGATTTTAAAGATGTATACAAAGAATTTAAAGTATTATCAAATTTGGAAACTAAAAGAAAACCTTCTTCACAAAATACCTATATATATATATATATATATATATATATATATATATATATATATATTATGATTGCAACAGAATTTCCGATATATCCTCAGAAAAATGCTTACTGTTCAGTACAATCGAATTCTTAGAAAAGTGACATAATTTTGTTCTCGGTAGTACAAAGGTGTTGCAAATAGCTTTTGTCTTACCACGTTTGCTTCCTGATAATTTCTTTAACATTTGCATGAGTTAGCTAGAAAAATATTTTATCTTTGCACTACATAAAGTTTAAGATACCTACATCATTCAATTATTTTTTTTTGTTTGATGGTCTAGAGATGCCTGTGGCTTACGTAATTTTTAATATATTCTTTGATGAATGATTCATGAGAATTGTTGTGACACATTTATTATAACATACTTTGTTTGTATATAATATTGGATGAGAATAATTTAAACATCACATGCTACAAAGAAATACTCTATAATGTTGTAGTATAATGGTGTAGACACTTGGACCTAGTTTAAATATTGTTCTTGAGTCTTGGTACGCCATATGATATTTTGAGAAGTACCATTTTTACTACCTTCAGCAGGATCTGTTTAATGGTTTTAAAAAAATTAAAATACTGCTAAAAATGACAAAATTTGAAACGCAAGGAAGATTTATCTGACAGAGCAATAATCCGTCAGAAGCTTCCGGGATTGTTTCCTGCAATTCACGGCCTATTTATTACGCATTTTATATCAAAACCAACCATTGTCTTCACACTATGCCATGCAAATGCAAATAAATTTATGTATGCGAAACAGAATTCGGTGAACAATTCATTGTATGTAACAAAAAACTGGGTGCAAGTGGAAATTTTCCTTGAGGCAGATTGCATGAACCTCCTGATATGGGTAAATGATCCACTTAATCGATAAGAAATTAGTATATTAATTTATGAGTTATTTGTATGTATACTTAGTAAACTAATCCAAAACTATTGCAGATTGTTCAATTTTGTACAAACTTGCCTAAAATGTTACTAGACGATACTTTGATCTTATTATTTTTTTTTAAAGCTCGAGTGTTTTTATTAAACTTTATGAAAATAAACTTGCCATAATAAACTGAAATGAAATAATTTAATCATTTTTAAAGTTTTAATGTATGCAACATAAAAACATCAAAAATAATTATAACATGTATAAACAAACTATTGTGAATTAAATAAACTTTTTTAAGTGTAATATAAAAAATTATAAATAATTAAGGTATTTGTGATTGTTTTACTTAGCAGTATTTTTTAATTTGCCCATTATAAAACTAGGTAAAAACTGCTCTTCATATTTGATACAGTTATGACTCTAGCAATTAGTTCTACTATTTTATTCTGTAAAACTTTACACCAGCTACTAATTAAAACTGTACCTAAATGTTGAAGTTTTTACGCATTTAACATTATATATAATCTTTGTTTTACAAGTTCCAGATGTAAAAATATTGCATGCACAATGGATGTAACGTTATTTTTCTTTGGAATGAACTTTTCTTATGAAAATCATTTGTTGTGAAGGGCTTTATTTACATAAAAGAAATAGTATTGTATCTTGGGAAGGAGATTTAATACTTATAAATTCATTACTGCTATGCAACTTATATACATTCAAATAAAAATTAAGTCAATATGTATACAAGATTTTTTTTTTGCAGAATTTACTAATCAAGAAAATTAGAGAAGTATTTTAAACTATCATTTTATATTTTATTCCATTTCTGGATTTTCATACTATATAATAAGATGTTCAACATAATTTTCAAAATTCTTACTACTATATAAAGTTTATAACAAAGTATATTACTGAATGCATTATTATTATTATTATTATTAAATATTTACATTGATGAGACCTTGCGCATTCACCTTGTATCTTAATAAGTACATCGTGACGTACCATGTTTAAAATAAATCTTGAAGAGATTTCAATGAATGTATAAGAAACAAACCTAGAGTAGTGATTTTAACATGCAAATGTAAATAATTTATTAGGAAATTGTAAAGAAATTTATAAAAGCTGTTGAAGGAAAAATGGTTATTTACTTACATAAATTTAAAAATTATAAATTTTTTATACATTCAATATATAAATTATTCTATATGACCGTAAATGTTTGTATTGTTTATACTTTTATACAGGGTGTCTCCATAGATCAATATTAACCCGGAACAGGATTGTGGTATTATGAAATTATGAGCTTTTATTTTGTACTGTGATGGTAGAAATGTTATTTTCAATTATGGGTCGAAAGTTTAAATGTACAAAAATTGAAAACAATAACCAGTATAACTGAAAAATAGTAACATTTTTACCTAAGCTTTAAGTTGCACTTAAAAGCTCATACTTTTCAAACTACGTGATATATATATATATATTTTTCGTGATAGTTACGATCAATACTATCACCCCGTTTCGGCTGAACATCTTGGGGACACCTTGTATACATAAAGACATAAGCATAATAGAAAAGCTAACATTTGTCTTTGATAACATCTTTAATATAAGGTATGTTCAGATCATAGTGTGGTTTGAAAAATACCATGAAGCATTACACATTTGACGAACAGTCTTGGATTGAACTCTTTACATCATAACTATATTAGATTTACTGGCTCATCCCCATAGTTCAATGCCATAGGTCCAAATTGGCTTAATAATGGTTTTATATATTAAAACCTTATTATCCAGTGATAGTTTAGAGTGTCTTCCTATTAGCCAAAATTAGTTTAATTTGTTGAATTTTTGTTTTTACATGATGTTTCCATGTCAATCTTTAATCTAATAATAAGTGCATGCCTAAATATTTAACTGTGTCATTTTGTGGCTGTTGATTTCTATTCAATGATGCAGGTGGGCAGGTTTGAAAGAAATTATTTAATATGAAATTTAAATTGCCATTAGATTTTGGGATATGAAGTACATAAAGTGTACTTAAGATATACGAAGAGTCTTGGATTGAATTCTTTGCATCATAACTATATTAAATTTACTGGCTCATCCCCATAGTTCAATGCCATAGGTCCAAATTGGCTTAATAATGGTTTTATATATTAAAACCTTATTATCCAGTGATAGTACAGAGTTTCTTCCTATTAGCCAAAATAATTCTGTAATTTTTAGTTTTGTTTTTATATGATGTTTCCATGTCAGTCTTTTATCTAAGTGCATGCCTAAATATTTAACTGTGTCATTTTGTGGCAGTTGATTTCCATTCAATGATACAGGTGGGCAGGTTTGAAAGAAACTATTTAATATGAAATTAAAATTGCCGTTAGGTATTGGGATATGAAGTACATAAAGTGTACTTATGATATACATAAAGGAAGGTTTTAAGAGAACTCTCCTAATATTTTTGGGATGAACAATCAAGTTTATGAGATTCAAGCTCAGTATTCCGGCTTTGTTTATATATGCAGATACATTGTATATATGAATGTTTATTATCCAGAGTATCTGTATACCTACTACAAATCGTGTGCCCGCGTCCGTGTTCAAACATTACACCAGTTTGATGAAGGTGGGCGAACAAGTTTTCACTTTCGTCGGTTTGATGCCTTATCGAGAGTCCGTGACGTGACGTTGCCGGTCGGCCCGCGTGCACATATATAGGCGACGGGTTGCACAACGTGGGCAACATCGGAGGAAGGTCCATTGCCATTCGAACGTTTCTCAATGGATACATCAAACTTTAGGCTGACGAATTGGGAAAAGGACAAATTTAATATTACTAATGGGAAGTTTTTCCCATTTTTTTTACATAAGTGTAATTGAAATATAACTACTTTCAATAACTACTGTTTTATTGATAATCTTCCAACTCCAATCTGCCTGCTAACGACAACTGACGACAACGTCAATGAAATATGTAAAAATCGAATAGAGCAGAATATAATAATTAAAATTAATTAATATGGCATTTAAGTAAGAATAAATACATCATATAACAATTTTGAATAATGTTTATTAGTAATATGGTAACACTCGTGATGCGCACATTCAATAGTGTCAACCATTATACACATTTATATAATGATAAATTATAAATTATATATTTATAATAGCAATAAAAATATGTATAATATTTAACCCTCCGTCGGTCGGATATTTATACACATTCGAACGGTCGGAGTGGTCTGGCTGGACCACCATTCACTTTACATGCATTTATATGGGATAAATAAGTTTTTGGTGTCTTATATGTCAACGATTATTAGTAGTAAATATTTATAGTTTTGATTTTTGCTTTTTCTTACCATCTTTTGCATGTGTTGAGCTCATAAGCTTATAATAAAAAAATTATATATTATATTATATTATATAAAAAAATCAAAGAATATAAAAAAATCGTAGCTTTTTTTATTATTTTCATTTTTCTGTTTTAAATTAATGAAAAACAATATTTATTCTTTTTCGGCTCCTTCGAAATGAATGTGAAATTCAAACGAAAACGAAATTATGTGCGTCGCCTTTGAAATGAGCTGTAAAATTCAAGTTGAAAATATAATTTCACTACAGGTTTGCCAAAAAAATTTCCGAACGCAGTACGGGTAGAAAAATTGTTGATAATGTGCGCATTACTCATCCGATTTTCAATGTTTGCGATGACCAATAACTTATTGACAATAAGTTTGGTAGGTTTTTAAGGAACTCTCGTCGTGAAAATACTAACATCCATGTTACTACAACACATAGCAAAGAATATATAAAATACAGTTTGAATAGAAAATACCAGAAAAAAGAAAAAAATAATGGTTTTCATATATCAAAAAGCGTATATTTCATACAAAATGTACGGGTGGTCTAGACAGACCACTCCGACCGTTCGAAGTATAAAAAAGTTAATATCCTTATAATTATCCTTCTGCAATTTTTTTCGTCCTGATTTTTTCATTGATCGACAGCTAATGAAATTTTAGGAAAAGTGAAGAAATTTCAAGTCGATAGGATTACTAGAAGTAATTTTTTTTTTTAATTGAAGTCGAAAAAAGTCTGGCCAGACCACGCCGACCGACGGAGGGTTAAAAACAATAATGTAATTAAATTCATTCTTCAAATATGAAATGATAAGTTTGTCATCGTAATTAGCATTTAAAAATGAACCTTTATTAGAGAAATGAAGTAATTGCTGATTAATAATTCTATAGGTCACATATTGTTCAAATATTGTTTTCGCAACTTCACTCATCATGTAATTGTGTTTCAAGAACTTCATGTAATTAAAATTAACATACATTCATTGACTGCTTGTATGTTTTTTATTTCATCGCTGGCGATATAATCACATTCTTTGAACAGCTTTAATATCTGCCTTGCCTAAAAATATTTTCTCTTTTAATAACTTTAAAGATTTATAAAAACTAATATAGAAATAATTTCTAATCAATAAACTTACGTTTATTATACGGCACAAATGTTTCATTAGTTTTATTATTTTCAAGGAACAGGGTAAAATTTTCTTCCGATTCAGGCATTTTTTATTAAATCAAGATTTGTACTAGGATGTAACTTTAAAATGTTTATTTATCTATGTCGATTTCCTTGTCGATACCGATACGCTTACAACGTTGATGCCGGTACACATACAACGACAGATCTCTATTCACATACGCGACGTCTATTTGAGAGCGATATCATTGGCTCGACTCTTATCTGCCGTAACGCACTTCCATTCCATTTGTACGGTTTTACACCCTAGTCGCGCCTAAAGAAGTTTTACTTCAAAAATAAATAGTTTTTTTTTAAATAAAATTTAGATTTTTCTTAAGCTCAAAAACACCTGATTTAAAAATTTAGGACCTTACTTATTTTTGAATGGCACAATATAAAACATTTAAATGTTAGGGTTGGACAACCCTGTTTTTTCAGTATAGAAATAATGCATGTTTAAATAAACATTTTTTTTTATTTATTGTTTCTACAGCAATCAGAACTCTTACTTTAATGTTCTATAAGCTGTTTTTTTGTGTATGACTTTTGACCTAAGGTATTGTTATGAGAGGCAACCCATCGGTTCACCATTATCCTATGAGTGGGATTTTTATATATTAGCTCTTACGTCTAATAGTTTACATATGATTGTATGATGCAACTATGTCCACGAAGGACGATTTCCACTTGGAATTATATTGTGATCCCATAGTGATCCATATTATAACTCCAAGTGGAAATTTGACATAGGTAGCGGGAATCGAACCAGCGAACCTGGTACTGGTTGGTGCTAGCCCACGCTCTAACTGATATCGTAACCGCTGGCCTCTTAAATAAACATGATGAATTCTCAATTACCTCAATATATCTATTAAATTTACTTATTTTTCCTCCCCCAGTGTGCGGCACAGCATGGTGGAATCAACTCGGATCCCCCCGAAGAATTCTCGCCCGCCGTGACTGCGACATGCAAGGCCGGCAGGATGAACATCAGGATACATTTTCGAGGGCCCTATCAAGGCGTCGCGCATTCTAGGGACTTCAGAACGCCGGCCTGCATGGCGTCGGGCGACGGCGGCCGGACACTGCACCTCAGCGTCGATCTCACCGCCCAGCAGGGACAACCCGAGTATTGCGGCGTACTAGTCAACAATGTAAGTGATAGATGGTAATAATTGAAATATTAGGTTGTCAAATATCTCCCTTCCGCTTTTTTGCTCTTGGTTTATAATACAAAAAGGCGGAAGGGAGATATTTGACAACCTTATATATTTATTGATAAACGTTTTCATCTCATAGTTTGGAAAACACTTTAACAATTAACACGAAAGAGAAGTTTATGTTTTCGTCGCAAAGTCTGTCTCGCAAATTTTGTTTTGTCGATGTTTCAAGTCATTATTAATTTTTGATACCAAAATTTGATTTTTTTAAATACACGAAAAATACCACAAGTTGATAGAACATATATTTAAAATTTAACCGAGCATTCGAAATCTACAAAAACTAGTTGGTATTGGTATTTTGCCTTGAGGCAAGTTACATGAACTTCCTGATATGTGTAAATAATCGACTTAATCAATAAAAAATAAATTAATTTATGAGTGATTAAAAGTATTCGGAGTGGATTTATTACACATAATTGAAAACGAACAAACACGTTAATCGGAGTATTTTCTAAAAGCAAATTTTCAAAAATCAATATTTTTTTAATTGAACCAGTTTCCGTAGGACTTTATTGATTTATTACGTTTATTAAGACCAAGTACTCTATCGTTATACGAAGTGAATCGTCTAAGTTTAATTTTAACAAACGTCAAAAAAACTACTCATTTTCTCAAACTTTGATGAGTGTTTAAAATTAAACTACTTGTCGTAAAGCCGTAATTCAGTAAGTTCTATAAGACCAGGATATATATCGCCAAAAAAAAGTTCCATAAACATCGTCTTAATTTTTATTTTCAATAGTTAATTACAAGAAAACGGCTCGGTAGATTTTCACCTAAAACTAATCAGTATCATTCCCAACTAATATCTTTCTGTGGGTGTGGTAATGTATATGAAAGTATAAACTCCACTTGTATAAAATTATATAAAATTTATTGACTGCCATGACTAGCCTGCTTGATCCCCACATTTCGAACAGTTTTTGATTTTTTAAAATCGATTCGGTAGAATGAGCTTAAATGTGGACGAAAAGTTTAACACTTTTTTCCAAATTACAAAGAAACGGCTCGGCCGATCGTCGCACAAAACTGAGAAACGATAATCCTCATCGAGATACATCAAATGCTTTTTAAATATCTGAAATCGGTTCAGGCGTTTTTGAGAAAACGTCGATGAAATGTCTAAATTTGACACATGCCAAAAAAACGATACTAATTTTTGCAAACTTTAACGAATTTTTAAAGCTAAACGAGTTGTCGTAGGGCCGTAATATTTTAGTATGATCTAGAAGACTATGGTATCTACCGTCAAAAAAATAATAATAAAAATCGTCGAAAAAAATTTTTTTATCACATAATTACAAGAAAACGGCCCGGCCGATCTCTACCAACAACTCATCAGCACGATTCCCAATCAATATCTTTCGAACGGTTTTTGAATTTTCAAGATCGATTCAGAACTGCGGGCTAAAACGTGGGTGAATTTTTTCACTTTTCTGCTATTTACAAAGAAACGGCTTGCCTGATCGTCGCGCAAAATTGATAAACGCTAGTCCTCATCGAGATACATCGAATAGCTTTTAAATTTCTAAAATCGGTCCAGCCATTTTTGAGAAAACGTCGATTTACGGCAAAAAATCTGTTCACACACACACACGCATACACACACACATACTTTTTTCAAATTTGGTCTCATTTGATTCAGAATGGCTTGAAACGTCGAGAAAACATAAAATTAGCAATTCGGATTTTTTGATGAAAACATAAACTTCTCCTTCGGGAAGTTAAAAAGTATTAGGTTTATATTCGTGCTTTTTATTTCTGTTATTTATGAGTCTAGTTTTTCCTAATTCTTTTTTCAAATTGGTATAGATCTTCTCTAGTTATCTTGAGCTATGATAGGAATTTATGATATAAAAGCATTTTAATATTCCTGTGTATCGTTGATGAACCTATAACGGGTCATTTTTCTCGCAAACTGTACGGAATACCATCGCGTCCGTCCAGGAACGAAAGACACCGCAGAATTTCAATCGTGTGCTTTTTATCGCCAGAACCACGAATAAATTTGCTATAAACCTGGATTAGATTCATAAAACATGTAATTGACATGCTGTTTTCAGACTGTTGTTCGACAAACCTGGTTAAGGTATGAAGCCAATTTTTGACTCTTTTGTTGTTAGTCTAATTAATTTAATTTTATGCTTGCGGTTGCTTTATTGCATTCACCATTGGCAGTTAACATTTAACAGTTATTATTGACGTTTATTTATTTTCTAGAATAACATTTATATAAATCCAATGTATTATAAACGAGCACGCGAACGACGGAATGCGAGCTTGATATGCTCGATACCTACTGTAAGTAATATTGAAATGCACTCTTCCGTTTTTCATAATAGACAAGCTGACGGCAATAAATTATAGTTTCTACAGCTTGACATTTTAAAATTAGTGAGAAACGTAATCTATTCTATTTCTATCATTTTTGTTAAACATAAATTGGTGCATAACAAATTTATTTAGGGGGAAGTTTCCAAGTGCCAAACACCTAAGGTTATTTATAGATAAATCAAAAAATATTTTACGAAATATTTATTAAATTATGACTTATGTTAGATAACAAAGTTAGTAATCAAACTAAATTAACAAAAACGCAACCTTTGCTAAAAAATAGTTAATACTATCAATCAAATTTCCAAATTTCCAAAACCAGCATTGAACTATATGTAACCATCTCCATACTCTGGGATGTGTGCACATATTTGTTTGACGAATATTCTTAGATATTGCAAAAAAATCACTATTTATCCACCCTTTTGGCTGGACCACACCGATGCTTTCAGCTGGAGCATTCATCATAAGATTTTCATTCTTTGACTAGGAAATACAAAAAATGGGGGTATGTAGTGACCGTTAGCACTCATACAGAACAAAATTAAATAATTAGAATAAATTACGTCAATTCTCACAAGAAATATCAATATGTTTTCTGTCCGGCGCTAAGGCACGACTTAGTGTCTGGTGCTAAGGGACAGGCATGTTCATTCATTTGGTGGTACCTACTGAAATTACCATTTTACGGATAACAATCAAGTACTACTTTCATCTTCGAATGCCACCCAAGTGTAAATGCATAAATATACTAGAATTACTTCCATTGATATTTAGGTGACACCGCGATTTTGCGCCTAAAACAGCAAAGGGTTGCTCCCGCCGTGGCCGTGTGCATCACAGGTGTGTCTTGGCGCGTGAACTTGCACCTGTGTACCCCCGCGCCCCTTTCACTTGTATTTTGAAATAAAAAAAATTATACACGCTTAAATAATACGTGTTACATAGAGTGTCCGGCGGTAGGTGCCGTCTGGCGTTACGGGACTTTGCACTAAATCTTGTATTATGGCGTTATGGCTGTATAAAACTATTGTTAAATTTTACATTTTATATTACTTTCGTCTAGTCTATCATATTAATATTTAGAGCACATTAGCGTTTTAATATATAAATAAATAAATAAAAAATATTTTATATATGAATATTATTCTTATATCGTTTATCAGCTACCCGACTAAATGTATGAAAGCATGATAGCAATATCTAACAGTCAATCAGGAAAACTTCCTCATTTTCGCGTTGCACGGCTCGTGTAAAGCATGTACTTTGACAGCTAAAACCGTTCGAAGGGTCGTCGTCTTGTTGTTGTATTTATTTTGCAATAATCTGCCAACGAAGGTATTATATATAAATCCTATTTGCTTGCTAGATCACGAACGAATTTTCTTTTCCAATGAATTTACATGCGGACTTAATGGAATTTGATATTACAAGACACAGGGTGACGGTAGTAGGAAATAAAAATTTGAAGTGTTGAAAAGTAGCAGAAGGAGGTGGAATATTTCAAATCAGAATCTGCAGATCCCATTGCATGTATTATACATTCATCTTGCTATAACTCAAGCATTATCTGTAGCTGTCATTGTAATTTTTTAGCTTCACCACAATGCCATTCTCAATCGCACTTGGAAATAACTGCACGACGATAACATCATCGGTCAATGTCCAATTTAAATGAAGGTGTCAAATAGTAATGTGCAAAACTTATGGTAGAACGTTTTCTAATCATCAAGTTATTTTGCATCAGGATCCTTGTAAAATAATTGGTTTATTGAAGTTTTAACACACAACACTATCGTACTGATTATTGGTATATCTTTGATTGAACTAGAATCTAAATACATCACTCATATCATCAATGCAATTAACCTTAATCGAATAGTGATTGCAAAATTATACGGTTCATAATTATAATCCGTTATTTAATAATGTGATGATATCAAACTGGGTGTGAAATATCTAAGAACTATTGTTTTTGAACTGCATTATTAATTGCAAATTGCGTGAAACTAATTAATAAATACCTACATGAGATTACATAATACGATCAATATATGGAATGCTATAAAATTAAAATTTTATTCTATCATTTACTAATTTTCGAATTCACGCAGTCTTTCTCACCTGTCATCACTTTTTCATCTGTTAGTTAAAAGAAACTACTTAACATTACAGACATAAGCAATTAAAATAGTTTCATAAAACGAAGTGTGTTTATCTCTAGACGCACATTATTCATAAATCAACCAAGGAAATCTCATCCATTATCCATAATTGTTTTCTGTAGAGATACAATTGAACGCATAACTCTAAGCATTTGTTTATTATCCTTGGTTAACATACCTACCTGAAATATTATTGGAAATCGATCATTTGGTTTATTGATTGTCCTTGTTAATAAAAGGAATATGTCTTCATCGATCAAGTGATTGAAACATGGGAAATATAAGATGGAACGAGCTTTTGCAACTTTAGATGAATTATTACTAATTACTTATTTGTTCATCATTATTATTGTATGATTTGTAACTAATTTAGGTTTGATTAATTTAAGATTTACTATAAACTTAATAACTAATTTTGTTATGAATGTTGTA